GGGGGGGGTCGGGGTGGGGACGACTACACACAACCATTTGCTAAATCAGGGCTCCCGAGGAGGGAAATGTGTCCCTTTGGAAAGAGCCACCAGGGCCAAAGCTGCCCCTGGAGTAAACAGGCATGAATGGGGTGGCCACAACAGAGCTGTGCCAGCCTTTCAACAGGGCACGTGTCTCCGCCGGACACTCGCTGGAGCAGAGGAGGAGGCTTAAGAACAGTTTTTCTTTCCATCAAATTATCCGTAAAACCCTGGCATCACTCATCCAGGCCCAGCTTTTAGGCTGCCCCAGCCCTCCTCCTGTACACCTGCAAATCCACGCAGGATGTTCCACTGTGTCCGTTTGCCCTTCTCCCCCTGCCAACTCCAGGGACCAGTAGCCCACCCTATGCCGCATCTCCCCAGGGAGGATTCCTCACGGTGTGGCTGCACCAGCAGCTTGCAGAGCTGGGGGGTGTCCCCTTGCTCACCGAACAGCCTGCCAAACCCCACGCAAATGGTGATGCTCCAAAAAAAAAAAAAAAAAACCCAAACCAAAACCACCAGCATCCTCCCTTCAACACAAAGCAGCCCTGCCTCTGCCCCCCAGCTCTGCCAAGGGCCAACACCCCCCAGTTCATTGCATGTCTGAGCTCCAGTCTTTGCTGTCCAAAAACCCGCTGCTGCGCCGGGGATTCACAGCACCATGGTGGGGATGTGATGGGCCAGGGAGGCGGGATGGGGCACGGGCAGGGCTGGCGAGTGAGCCTGCAGGGAGGCGTTGGGGGGCCGATGGCGGGCGCTTTTCTGGTGTGCCCGCAGCCCGGCGAGCTGGGAGTAGGCACTTTGGCAAACCTGGCACTTGTAGGGACGCTCGCCGGTGTGCAAGCGGACGTGGTTGCGGAGGGTGGAGGACTGGCTGAAGCGGCGGTTGCAGAAGCGGCACACGAAGGGCTTGTCCAGGGTGTGGATGCGCATGTGGGAGCGCAGGTTGCTGCGGGAGTTGAAGCCCCGGTGGCAGATGACGCAGCGCATGCGCCCCGTCGTGCTGGCCCCCGTCTCCACTGCGTGGAAGTCCTCTGGGGACAACAGGGGACGGTCAGGCGCTGCCCTCCGGCACAGCGGCTCACCCCCTCCCCGAGCCCCCAAGGTGCTGACTGGCCCTAAAAAACCACCCCATGCCCCCTCGCTGGGTCCCTGCCCGCTGAGGATGCCCGCTCATGGAGACACCCATCCCGGGCAGAGTGGGGTCGCAGGCTGGCGCTTAAGGTTTTGGGATGGGGCCAGAGCTGCGAACAGGCTTACCCAAATTTAGGCGAGGGGGAACAACCCACAACCATGCTGCCCTGGCCTCCAGCCCAGGGTCTTCATCAGCAGTGTGTTATCCCTGCATTGGTCCCAGCTTCTCCCCCTGCTCTGCTGGGCTCTGACCCAGCACTCTCAGAGCGGGAAGTGGGGCTGAGGAGCACAGACGGGGTCTGGCTCTGACAGCATCCCCCAAAAGTGCCCAAAAGCTTTGCCGCCTGCCCACAGAGGTGCACCTCAGGGAACCACCAAGACAAGCAGAGATTGAAAGCCCAGGGAGAGAAAAGCCTCCTGCAATGGTGATTTGGGGAAAGATCTGTTAAATGCAGAGCGGGGACATAAGCAGTTGCATCCACTTGGCGTTTCGTAGCTCATCGGGGCTGCCTTGGCCCTGCTCGCATGTCTGCCCCGCTTCTCCCTGCCTGGCAGGGTCAGGCAGCGACTGCTGGCCACCGCACCAGCAATAGCCGTGGGCAAACCAGCCCAGAGGTGACCCCCCAAATCACTGGGGACCTGCTCAAGCTGTACGGATCTGTCTCGTAGTCCCTGTGTTTGTCCCCAGAGAGCTGGGGGATCTGACATATCCCCTGGGATGTCCCTGCCCCGTGCCCACCCCATGGCCTCAGAGCTGGGGACAGGGTGAACGGAGAACGGGCAGGGATGCTGCACCCATGGCTGTTTCCGATGTTACCTACCATGTTTGTTCTTCTTCTGCTCCTCTTCCAGCCCTGGCACACCTGGGATGCCCAGGAAGGTGTTATGGGAGTTCCCATACCAGACCAGCAGCTCTTGGTCCGGAGGAATCATCTAGAGAGAGAGACAGACAGGGGTGTGGGGAGGGGACAGCAAACAGCTCCCCGTGCATCCTCGGCTGGTCGCTTCCGACCTACCCTGGCCATATCCCATCTCCTGCGAGACCCTGCTGCCATCTGGGACCTGCCAGCGGTCCCCAACACCCCCCGTGCACAGGTTGCAGCACTGGTGGCAATGACACGACTCAGCACCATCACCCAGCACGGCTCTTCCCCCCGGGCTGGGCCACGAACAACGTAACAGGCAAATAAGCAGCTATGGAGCACACAGACAGAGCTGGGGTCTCTGGAGTGAAGGACCCAGAGGTCCCTGCAGGGAGATGAGGACACGGCGGCACACAGAGACAAGGAGAAATAAGCCATTTGTGGACGCACGAACTGCAGCAAGGCACAAATGACAGACACCAAAGCAGGGAGCCGTGACACAGAACCCTGGCTCAGTGCTCCTGCAGAGCGTTTCGGCTCTGGACAGAGCCATTGGCACCCTCCTGCTGTAGGGCACAGGCAGCATCTCCCACCCGACCCCTCTGGGGTTTATTTTAGCTGGTGGAAATAAAAGATGTGCCAACAAAGGGTTCGTCAGCCTGGGGATTGGAGAGCGCAGGGGCTGCTAAAAGAGTGCGTGGCTTGGGTGCAAGATGCTGCCTACATCCCACACCAAAGTCCTGGTACCTGCAACAGCCCAAGGAGATCTACAGGGCCAGGGAAGTGCTTTTGCACCAGCCACACTCCTGTTTCCCTGAAACGATGGCATTTTTCCTTCCCCTGTTGTTCCTGCTATGTTCCTGCACTGCCACGGCGGCCAGAGCAAACAGCCAGGAAACGCCGTTCCAGCCTCCCCACGCACAGCAGCCACGGCTGGGAAGACGGATACTCTCACACTGTTTCAGGCAACACTAATAACAACATCACTTTATAAAAAAAATATGCACAGATTTTTTCCTTTCAGGTCCCTAGTGTTAAGAACCTAATTTAGAAATGGGAAGGTCCCCTGTTTCAGAGGATGACTTTCCATATGCAGAGTAGTCCAAGAAAAGCATCATCCACATGAAACACAGACCATAAGTTAGATCACCTGATCACTGAAAATGCGCCTAATTTTAGGCACCTGAAAGCAGTGGGAATTTTGACTTCATATTTTCAAGGGTCCATCTATCTGCATGAAGACCTCACTAGGACTGCAGAGTAGGAATTTGGGAGGCAGAGGAAACCGATATCATTTTGCATCCCAAATTGGTGCTGTTTCTCTGTGTCATTTTCTCTTAACAGAAAATGAGTTATTTTTAATACAAGCAAAGAGAATAAAATATTGCTGAAAGGATAAAACACATTGCATGCGTGCGTATGTGTGTGTCTGCATGTGTTATTCTGCTGGAGCTGGTGCACCTGTGCCAGCAGCAGATGAGCACTCATGTGCATACACCCCAAAGCAATTTAAATTGCCCCCCAGGAATCTCTTGGCCTTCAGATCAAAGGCCAAAACTCACTGCCCTCACTTTATTTTCCAGCAGCGGCAACTTGGAATTATTGAGGAAGAGGATGGGAAAAAACAAACTAGTAAGTAAGGGCAGGAACGGGAAAAACCATGAAAATATTAAAGGCAAATAGTGAAAAAGGCACCCAACAAATCTGAATTTGTGATGGGTAGGTGAGAAAGGCATCCTGAGAACGGCATCCTAAGAGATACTGGCGTGATGGTGCAGCGGAGGTGGGTGCAGAGCAACAGGGACCGGGCAGCTCGTGGTGCCCACCGGGGAGGGGATGCAGCGGGCACGGGGCAGGAGCCCCCCAAGGCTGGTGGGGGACGGAGGGTGACAGTGCCCATGTGCTGCTGAGAGAGGGCACCGCTAAGTTCAGGGCGGTGTTCGCGTATCCTGACCGAGACTGAGCTTTTCCAGCTGGTCTCGGGCTGATGCTGCGCTCTCGGTCCAGGATTTGTGGCGAGGGAGGCGACAAGGCAGGAGCGGTGGGTAACAAGGGGGGAGCTCGCTCGGGTCCAAGATGCTGCATTTGTGTGCCCACGACTCCGCACTAGGGGATTAACGAGCGGAGAAAGAACCACAAAAGGCAAATCCTCTCTTGCTTTTCCTTTTCTTGTTGGGTGCACAAACCCCAATGAGTTTGAACAAGCGATCGGTTTTGGACTGCATGTGTGTGTGCATGCACGCGCGTTACACAGGTGGGAATGGGGAGCCCACGAAAGATGCAGATCCTCGACCTGTCGTGCCCAGTTGTGACCCAGCTCCTCACACACTCCATGCTTCCCTTCCTCACACTCTCACACAAAAAGCCCCAGCCCCTTCTGCTCCTCCCAGCACAGAGGGACCCACGGTGACCCTGCCAGACGCCTGCCATGCCTGGGGAGCATGCTGCAGTGTGATAGCAGGCACCCTCCATCCCCACTTTCACCTCCCCGGCCCTCAGGGTTCGGCGCTCTCAACATCTCAACTTTGCTGTTTGTATCGAGGGAATTAGACTCATCCTGCTCTGGCACTCGCTGCTTCAACCCCGGGAGCAAGCCTGCAGATTGACTGTGACTGTCCGGGGCCTCTACACGCACCTCCCCAAATATCAGCTCATCTGCCCCATCGTCCATACACACACACAAGGTGTGAGAAACACGGCTGTATTCTTAATTACACCATGGCTAACTGGGATTATTTTACTGCTTTGCATAATTTAAGAACAGTAATAAAAAGCAATTAAGATGCTGTCATAACAGGCAGGGCTGCCCACAAGAGTATCAGGTCTTAAAACTGGGTACAGCTGAAGCTTACGGAGGGGTGTCCAGGATGGGGAGAGCAGCACAGAAGCCCTTGGGGCTCTTGCAGCGCTGCACGAGGAAAGGCGGCAGAGCCCCGAGGAGGCACACAGGACTCTCCCACAGCAGAAGAAAATACCTGTTCTCTTTTTACCCCCCCCCTTGCCTTTCCCCCCCCCCCCCCCCAGCAATTCCAAACCCAGCCCTGATGCTGGCTCAATGCAGGATTGAGCCGTGGTCCTGTGCTGTGGAGCATTTGAGCATCTGCTCCTCTGTAAGCCAGCGCAGGAGACCGGATAGACCCAGGGAGCTGCCCTTGCCCACGGAACCAGCAGGCACGTGTGCTTTTTCCCAGCTAAGACCCTCTCCCAGCTGCAAGCAGCCGTGGGAGCCCCCGCTGCTGAGCATGTGAGACTCTGGACCCAATATACGGGAGAGGAACAGTCCCACAGTGCCGGTCTGGGATGGAATGGGAGATGTTCCCCTCTCGCGACTCTAAGCTGAAGCAGCTGCACAGGGAGACCTCTCCAAGCTACCACCTTCCTCCACCTGCAACAGCATCGGGTTGTGGGGACTCTGTACACAAGCAGGGCTGGACCCCGCCATCACACCGCTGGCACTGCGTGACTTGTATGCACATGGCATCAATAATGCCAGCGAGCCAGACACCCACCTCCATCCCAGCATCTCCCACAGGGAGCTGTGGGTACCTCCAGCCTTCACCCCACAGCATGGCAGCCTGTGCCCTGGGACACCCCTGGGACCCAGCTCCTGCCCCTGCTCCCCCGCCGAGCCAGCACCCACCAGCGCTTCATACAGGAGCGCATGGATGAGCCGGGCAGGATGAGTGCCTTCGCCGCAGCCCTGCTGCAGACAGCCCGAGGCTCGCCTGCGCCAGCGCCGCACCCTGCCTGCTCTGCAGCTCCCTGCCCCGCTCCCGCAGCCCCGATCCTCCTCTCACTCTCTGTTTTACAGCCAGAGCTGCTTGTGACCCCGGGCAAAAGCTGTGCAGAGTCAGGTGCAGCCTGCATTCAGCACCTGGGTTTCACAGAAACCCCAAAACTTTTCCATGCTACGGAGAAGCAGGTTCTGCACAAAATCCCATTTTTCAAGACAGCATCAAAACCCCGCTCCTGCCTGAAGCCCCGGCTGGGCCAGGATTACAGCTCTTTTCATGCTTTACACCCCAAAAGAAGCTTGGGCAGCGTTTGCTCTCCCTCTGCTCATCACCCCATGAGCCCACCAAAAGGGGACAGAGAGGAGAAGTGCCCTTTGCTTCTCCATGAAGCCCATGCAATGGCCATTCCCCACGGTGCCTACCTGTCCCAGCAGGTCTGGGTGCAGGGGACAGCAAAGCCACCCTGTGCTCCCACAGACAGCCCAGCAACAGCCCAAAGAACTGAGGGTCTATGGGGTGGCAGATCCCAGCACCCTGCTCCCCTCCTGCGGCTGCTCGGCTGCCTCCCCACCCTGCTTACCTCAATTGCCTTGTAGAAGATGCTGTTCCCGATCTGGACCACCTCCAGGTTCTGCTCCTGCTCATTCCGTGCACATTTGATGTAGGTCATCCAGCTGCGGTGGTCCTCCTGGCTGGCATCGATGAAGTACCGCACCGTGCCATCTTCGTTAAAGACCTGGGAGGAGGAGAGAGCAGTTGGTAACGATGCTGCCCACAATGGACGGAGCCCCTCCACCTCCTGCCTCTGGGATAAAGTCCCCAGCCAGGAACAAGCTCAAAGCCAGCATAACCTCGGAGCTGAGATCATGCCAGCAGCCGGGAAATGCCTGAACCCTTCTTGCTCATGGTGCTGGACCACAGCGGGGCTGAGGAAGGGTACCCTGCTCTCAATGGGTGGGCACAGCTGGCCCCGCCGGCCCATGCCCACCCGAATAACCCAGCTCCCTGTCTCAATCCCCCTTTTCGGCAGAGCCCCCCCAGCAGCTCAGCCCCAAAGGGGATATTCGGCGTCCTGCAGCTGCCCACAGGAGCAGGGCATCCCTGGGTGGAGGGGGAAGGTGCCTGCCAGACCGGGCCCTCGGGGGAAGATGCTTTGCAGGGTGGCAGGAAAGGCGAGGGAAGTTTCCATTAGGCATCAAATTATAATAATAAAAAATAATAATTAATAATAATTTAAAAGTGCAAGTCTGACACTCAGCAAAACAAAAAAATACGAGGAAAACCCCCCTCTACTAGCCAGGCATTAATGCGTGATGTCCTGGCGGCTCAGGTCCCCCCAAACTCCACGGCTTCACTCGGGGTTACCCGCACCGGGGCTGGGACAAAGCGGGGGACAGGGCAGAGCTGGTTTCGCCCTCGGCACACTGAGCAGGCAGCTGCCCGCCGGGTGTTTCACCACGACGGGAAAGGGCAGGGCAGGGTGCGATCCTGCTGCATGGGACACGAGCAACAGCATTTCGGGGCTCCTCCGAGAGCTGGCTGCACCCCGAGGGGTGAAGCCTTGCCCTTCTACTGCCCCAAGGGTCTCCTAAACCCACCCGCCCTGGAGGAAGCCAGATCTTTGCACGAACGGGGAAACTGAGGCAGGGGGAGGGTGCCTGACGGCACACAAGCGCAGGACAAAGCCCCCGGGCCCCAGGCACCCCATCCCTGCCTCTCGCCGGGCCAGCCGGGTCTGGGGGTCCGGGGGTTGTTACCTCCCACATGAGGTTGTTGTTCTTGCACAGGTCCACATGCTCCGGCGAGATGACCCTGCCCGTGAACGGTCCCATCTCGGTACCGGCCTTGATCCAGGTCTTGGAGAAGATGCCGAGCCCTTCCCCGGGGATGGAACTCTGGGCGATGATCACTTCCGACGGCAGCACCAGGCTGGACAGCTTCTGTACCTCTGCGGGAGGTGGGAAAGGGCTCGGAAAAGGGACCCGCCGCCTCCGGCCCCCCGCCCGCCCCG